AGTCCCTTTAACCTTCATGAAAGCGGTCTACAGATGGTGACCGGCACATATGAGTCAGGCAATTCTATTACGATGAACCAACTTCCGAGTTTAGAACAAACAGCTCGTAATCGTAATGAAATTCTGTTTCATTAGAAACTGATCTCAATACTTCACTCTTTCAGAACATTACCCAAGTGTGGATAAAAAACATTTTCCTTACCGATTTGATCCATTCGCAATTTCGTGACTGTTTTCGCAAGGTCGTCTATTCCCGATTGGCCATTTAAGATTTCTGAAACATATTAATTAAAACATGATTTTCTACTAGTAACATTTCATATTACAATCATAACAATAATCTATAAGTGAAAATAAAAAACAAAAATCAACTCTCCACCTAGTTAATGCAACTGCAGACAACATTTACTTCAATTTTCTCTGCAGATAATACATAATAATCCAGCCTCCTCAACTATTACAGCAACCTCTCATATTGAGATCACCTTTCATGATTGTCAAGACTTTGAAGGGCATCTCCAAGGTGATTGCCAGCCCTATTGCCTTGAGGTACTTCTTATTGTGAACGAGATTGGAAAGTCGCTGTTCCCTGCAATACGGAGATAGAATAGAATTATTTATAGACTACAGAAAACTACTTCCCAAAACGATTTCTTACATCAAACCTGTTACCAATACTAAATATTCTGCAGTTCTCCAGATATGCACAGGAACATAATACAGCTGTGGAACTGAGGGGTGACTGCTAAATTAATTAAATTAATTTATTCACTAGTGACAAACACACACATTTCACACAGATCACTTGTGACGAGTGACGGCAAGTAAACCGACGTATGCAATGATTTCCGTTAGTAGAAACAAGATGAATAGATAACACCTACTGCAGCAGGACTGCCTCTTGTTTCGCTCTAGCTTCTTCAACCTCTGTCTCTGTCACATCCTGAAAGTATAAGGCGTAGGCATCTCACATTTTGACCACAATGCCACATATTCTTATTTCCATAACATACATTCTATATCTCCCCCTCCTCCTGTATCCCTCCATCCCACACCCACCCTCTATACTCCCACCCCTCCTCCTGCATCCCTCCACCCTGTGCTTAACCCTCTATATCTCCCCCTCCCCCTGTATCCCTCCATCCCACACCCACCCTCTATACTCCCACCCCTCCTCCTGCATCCCTCCACCCTGTGCTTAACCCTCTATATCTCCCCCTCCTCCTGTATCCCTCCACCCCCGCACCCACCTTCCACATGATGATGTTGGAGTCGGCCGCACCCGTGACAATGCATGCCTCATCCTTGGCGATAGTCAGTGCCCACAGTTTGGCTTCATGCTCATCGAACGTCCTGATGCACTCACTCAGCTTGATCGTCCACAGCTTCAGCAGTCCGTCCGAGCCACTGCAACAATGCCCAGGTGATCAGCTAGATGGCAGCACCAACCTACCTATCAGAGTCCTCGACAACCTCCAGTGCAAGCATGTTCATGTCTCTACTAAACATGAATCTGGAGCGAGGGAATTTCGCAAATACTAATATATATACAGTCTATGGCAATTAAAACGATTATTCAATTTACAGCCAGAAGTGTAATTAACCGTGAAAGAACGTATAGAGGCCTTCTGGCCTGAAACCCACAGGCAGTAAGCCTTTAATACCCACCAACCAAAATTTATGTCACAAAACCAAGAATTCCCATACTGATGGGGCTAATTGCTTTCATCTGCCATATATATATATATACATGCGACCAATAACAACATTAAGTCCTTTAGGAGATGATTCGGAGCGTAATCATTCTCTTTATTGTGGTTTCTAACGGGTGTGACAACAGTAAATATATATTCATAGCAATTATAAGTAGAGGGAGATGACAACAGGCCAGATAAAGGGGATTTAATCAATCAACACACCAAATTCAGAATGGACTACCGATCAATAACGCCTAGTTAAGCTATAGAGACTGCGATGGGGTGTGAGCAGGATCTGACCACAAAAGAGGTCGAAGAGGAAAGCCTCAGCGATATAGAGCTATGGTCAGGAGGGACGAGGAAGACCAAAGATAGAGGGAACAGAAGAAGGTAGCGAGCGGAGAAAGAAGAGTACGCTCTCGGGGGCCACTGCAGGTTGCGTTTACGTACGTCATAATATAAATATATATATAGAATAAACTTATCTATATTATAATCGATGCCTTCTTTCATCACTACCAGTGGCAACAAACTACATTTGGCGCTGTGACGTTAAGAACTTGTGTATTCCTTTGCGGTGCAATGAAGTGAAGATGCTACCGCTATACGAGGCACAAACACCGAAACACTGAACAACAAAGATACAACTGGAACAATAAAGAAGAAGAAGAAGAAGAAGAAGAAGAAGAAGAAAAGAAAAATGACACAAAACCAATGACTATTGATTTGCAGCATACTGCAGGGACTGTGACATTCAGAAAGGAGTGTTGGCGTTTTGCCCAGTACGAGCATTGCGTATGGCAATACCTACGAACACTGATGCTGCAGCTAAGACGCGTCTGAGCTAGAACATTTCGATTTCTATGACCTGGCTATCATGACGAAGCAAGGAGGAAAAGAAAGTGAACACGTACACGAACTGTTCACAGCAGCTGAGACAGCAACTGAAATATCCGCTTGATGGCTTCGTCATATACAAGCATATTAGCGAAATACTCGAGCACTTTTCCCACATACATCATGTCCCATACATCATGTGCTAGAGCAATCTAGTTGATGACTAATTGACTGATCAACTTGGCATGACTGACACACACCTCTAGCCGATCACTGTTGTAATAGGACGTTCTAAAAAATTATGCTTAGCAATGACGAGTTGAAAAAAATCAATAATTTGGCATCCACACATGAAACACACAAACACTTGATTAGCTTGACTGGCACAGCAACAATATCTAAGAGGGGCCTGGTGCAGATCACGGCTCTAATCGATGCTGTAACAATGATGATGTAACAACCAAGTTTATATACTTACACCACTGATCAACGAAGTCATGTGAATTACACGTGACCAACCTTACATACGTGAGGCTTACCCCGTCAGAAGTTGCATTCCCTTTGAGATGAACGTCACCTTCAACACGGATGCATCATGTCCCTCAAACGTCTAGAGTGAAGAGAAAGAAGTGATTCTCACATAATGACATCACCTCTACACATGCTATGCATTTCTAAAAATGCTCCAGCTAATGTCTTCGACTTCTTAATTGATTACGGCAACGAAATTAACAAGCACAACTAATTGTATAATGGTTGTCATGCTGCACGCAAGTCGTTACATGCAATGAAGTTAAGTGACAACAAATAAAGAGAATACGTACAATTTTAGAGCGTGCAAAGTATTAACTGAGAATTACCTTGACACATGTGAAATTGTTTAATGCCCATATCTTCACAGTTCCATCTCCAGACCCGGTAGCAATGACCTAAACACAAACATTAAATAGTATGACATCACATTAATTTCACATTGCTTCTTCGTCCACTTGTCGAAATATCAGATTCATACACAACAAGCCCGCTACATGACACAATGATGAACTGTTGACAGCTTGTAATTCATTACATACCTGGTCCACGGGTGAGAACTGCACACACCAGATGCCACGCTTGTGTCCCCTGCATACACCTAGCAGCTTACCGTCATCCGTGCTCCAGATCTGAAACACAACACAACAATCAGTTGTGCACATTGTTACAGTAATTCAATTAGTCACAAATCGATATATACTAACACATTTATTTATTCACATTCTTGTATATATACTAGCTATAGCTTCACACCAACCTTTGCTGTCTTGTCGTGGGAGCCAGTAGCTAGAAGTCTGTCGTTTGGTGACACCGACACAGCATTGATTTCTTTATCGTGAGCTTTCTCGGTGCATTGTACGTGAAGTTTCCGCACGACCGCAGATAAATCGCTTGGTAAGGTCCAGATTTTAAATGTCTGGTCGTCGCTCACGGATACCAAAATATTTGATCGACATCTATCAACAGGAAGAGCAGACGGCGTATAGTTTTGAGCAGAATGTACTACTAAAAAATATCCCATGCAACCAACTTCAGATCAGCTTACAACAAGAAAAGCTCCTAATGCATTGCAACAAAGTACCACAAAGTCGACAAATTGGCATGCACCTGTGGAAAACATGTATAAACTGGTTTACTTTGACTGACCTAACAACAATAGGCAAATTTATTTCACTCAGACGGATAGATCTATTCATTACTGCCCTTAGAATTAACCAGCATACATGCTGACCTTACTAAAAATCATACTCGGAAGGCTCACCTTCCAAGCGCAATGCCGTTGATAGCATGAGTGTGTCCAGCTCCGAAAGCCACGCAGGAAACGATGTGCGAATTACTGTTCATCTCCCACAAACGAAGTGTGTTGTCCTAGAAGTAGAAGAACGGTTTAGTGATTACAGTGTGTACGTGCAACATCAGACATTATATCACATGTGACACCAATAATCTCATCGTTCCCCTTTTAATAAACATCTCCCCAAAATAATAAACATCACTGAAGACACACAATCGCTATTCATTTGAAAGCAGGTAAAAATAAAAGGTATTCAGGGCCACAGTTGAAAAGACTTTGTGCTTAATCAGGATATTATAGTCGGTTTATTTCTTATTAGAGCAATTATCCACTAGCAACTAGCAAAGAAAAGGCTCACCTTGGACGAGCTGGCCAGCATGCTTCCATCGTTGCTGACGTCTAATGCGAGGACAATATCACTGTGCCCCTTTAGCACCTGACAGCAGAACGTTGCCAACTCAAACACCTTGATGTTCGGACTGTTGGTTGCCACGGCGATGTGACTCTCGCCAGCTCCCATCAACTTGATGTCGAGTATCTCATCGTTGAAGCCAACAAACTGAAAAGCATGGTGTCGTTATACTACAAACACACGTTCTGCTCTCACGGAAACCGTACAACGTATGTCGCACACTTTTACTCATTATGTAAAACGAATGAACCGAGAAACGTATGACAGACATGCCACGAACACTCAAATTGCTCAGTGTGAAGCCCTACCACATGATCCATCACCATACTACTAGCGCAATGCTCATTTACCGTGTCTTCTCGTCGTATATATTCAAGCAGATGACCTTGAGAAACAGCGAGGTCGCTTCCGACTATTCGTTGCCCATTATTAATTGCAATCATTCGACGACTGCACGGCGAAAACCTATGAGCATGGTCCTTACGAGAAGCCACAACGAGCGTTCACCTGCTTTTGTTCGGCCAGGTCATCTATTCCGTGCAGCAGGACAGTGTGATCGAATTTCACGACGAGCACGGCCGCCAGCGTGCTGTGGTAGGACAAATGCACGATAGAGTGCGCCACAATCTCACCACCATCGTCCGCACTAGACTCGAGGGCTTCGTCTTTCACGCTCGAGTAAACACACTTGGAGGTCTTTGAGTTCCACACCCGCAGCACACCTACGTCGACAAGCGTCGGTACGGTCAAGATTCACAGATTCCGAAGAGTTATTTCTGAGTGTCCTAGCATTTTACATATATACAACCATGTCGCTGTTTCAGAATTCATAGCGATTTTATTTTATTATATCTATGAGCCCTATAATGGACCATAACTACCTACCAAAATTGTTTGCCAAAGCACCAGCTACAGAAATTCCCAGTGGGTGTATCATTATACCTATAGCCAAACTACATAGGCAGACAAAGAAAAAATAGCTGACTATCTTTCAAAGGTCAGTATACCTCTCTCCCCAGCTGTTAGAAAGTGTAGATCATCAGTGCCACCAACAGGTATGTTCAGCGCCGGGAAAGGTGTATTTTCTCGCAGCAGCACGACCCCTTCAAGTGTCTAGAAAGATAATTTTGCTATATAACTTATAATTTACGATCAGAACTGGTATACAGGGTACAACGGTTAGTATTTACTGGTCTACCTTCATAACTCGGGAACAAGACAACAGGGGTTATCGTTTGCTCATTACCTCATAAACTGGAACAGTTTTCAGCATCTTGCTGGTTTTAAGGTTCCATAGTATGACAACTTTGTCTCGTCCACAGCTAAAACATACATATAAATGATACAGTTAACATGAGATTGACCTGAGGGAATAAAACCGGGTCATGCTAACAGTTCTTTATCATAAGACATAACTCAATGTTGCTACAAACATGGGTAGTTAAAACAAACATTCAAATGTTTTACTATTCACCTGAGCAGAGTGTTTCCATCCTGACTAAAATCAAAGCCAGTGGGAACTGAGAAGTGGCCTTCCAGCTCGCTGTCACATGTTCCCGTCTCTAGGCTCCACACACGCACCTTACAATCCAGAGAGCTGCTAATCACCTGCAGTCTACTGATGTCGGGGTGGAAACAAACAGCACTGAAACAAAACACACAAATTGTTTTCTTCCAAATTGCACAGATGAAAATTATCAAAATGCAAACACAAATAACAATTTACAGGGCATTTAGCCAAAATGTGAACAGGCCCACCCAAAATTTTAAACAGGCCCTTATAGACAAATTAAACAGGCCCTTACAAGTTTGAACAGGTCCTTAATTTTGTTCAATATATTCCAATAATAATAAAAGTATTAGCTTTGTGTTTATTAGACAATAGTATTTATTTTCACAGTTTGTATTAAGAAGTACTCGCCGCAGCCTCCTGTGCAATGGTCTTAGTGAAGTAAAAACTAGTCAGGAAATTGGTAACTATTGTTGATATAAAAGCAAGATATGCAAAATTTTGAATAGGCCAAGTGGACTGATTATATGGGAGGTTGAACCAGCGGTTTAGGAGGTTGAACCGGCAACCGCTGGCAAAATAGCGCTAATTTCGCACACTGAATTTATAGAACTTTGAGGCTTTAATTTCAAGCTTTCAGACTCAGGCGACTCTGCCTGAATGCCCAATGTCTTACAGAAATGAGCGAAATCTATGCTGAACAAGCCTATACAGGTAGTATTGCCACTGACAAATCGACCGTTTTGATTCTTACCTGATGACACCCTGAGAACCTTTCAGGTTGTGTGTGCAGTACTGGCGGACAATGTCCCACACCTTGATCGTAGAGTCTGAGCTCCCTGTTGCCAAGAGTGTAGATGTAGAATCGAATGACATAGTAAGGATCGGTGCTGTGTGTATTGCCTGCAAGTAGGGACATTTCTACTAACTTTGTGCCTGAAATATATCTCATAGACAAGTTTACTATTACATTATTTCATTGTAGTTATTGTATTGTATTGTCACATAATTAATTATAAGTTATTATTTATTCATGGCAATTGATAGATAATAATTGGTATTAAGGGAATGTAACTTATCACTCAAATTAGAAAGGTGGTTATAGCCAAACTCAATTTTGAGTATAGGTTACGTTACTTTAAAAAAAAGATATTTATGAGATTTAAATGTAAACATATTTCCCACAGTAAATACAATATACATGTTCGCATTCAATATATTACCTTCCATGTTCTTATACATTTTTCCTCCTTCCAATCCCACTGCTTCAAAAGGAGATTTTTCGTGGCTATGACAAGGTACTCATCATCCGGACTAACTACAAAACTTGTGATGTCATCTTCACCGTCCTGTCCGACTGTCTTTTCCACTTTCCCTGTCTGGACATCTAGTATTTTCACTTGGTTTCCACAGCAACAAAATAAATGCAGCCCATCATGAGAGAGTTGTACATTTCCACCTTTGTAAAAAGCTTCATATTTCGTCTGTACTGCAAAACTGAAAAACACAATCAGTCAGTTTATGCTGTAAACACTAATTCTAGTTAATTTCTACATGCCCAACACCATGGCTTCTAATCTATACACCTTGCGAACAATATATACATTGTATGTACATTAGCTCTACCGGTGTAGCCACTTCGGTCCCACTACAGGCTATAGGCTACAACCTATGATGGAAATCAGTGACGTTTATAGCATGGCCTGCAATGCTGTTGTCTGTGGCACAATAAAAAATCACCCTGGCCTGCAACATTAACTTATAATCTTTAGACAGCCAGCTAAAAATTCACAAATTAAATTACTATAACGTGACTAAATTGGCCCCAATGCAAACAATTGTGTGACCGAAACCCACATCCATATTTGAATTGAAACGGTTGTAGGCGCCCTGCATTTTTCCAGGGATAGGTGCACAGTCTCTCAACACCACCACACGGGTTGGTGTTGAGCTACAAAGTAGTGTTAGCAGCTGTAAGGAGAAGGTGAGTTAATTTCTTATAATGATGACATTATGAATCTATGATTGAAACACAAGAACATATACATAATCGCTACTGTTATATAGATTTGGAAAGTAACTGAACACAATAATTGATTTAACTTGCTGCCCCCCAAGACACTGTTCACCCCTTCCTGGAAAATGGAAGCACCAACTTGGATGTGTTTTGGTCATGCGATCAATTGCGCATGCATTCCATAAAAGGGCCAATTTGGTCATGTTATAGTGAATTAAACGTGAGTTTATGTTGCAGTCTAGAGTGATTTCTTTGGTGTCACAAACTAGTAGTACTACTACTACTACAGGGTGTGAAATCAACGGGAGTCCAGAGTCAAATACTCCCTGATTTGACATTTATGCAGGAATCCGTGTGACTCCCTGAAAATTCTGCCTTACTAACTAGTTCGTTCCAGAGCACGGCCTCGCGGAATTACCCTATTTTTTTAACAAATATCCAAAGAAAATTTGGCAGACGTGCAACCGCATGAATCTTCAAAATAAGCACATGCGTTATTGTTAATATCTTTAATTTTGAACTTCAGACTGCGGACTCCCCCATTTTGCCGCGGACTCCCTCTTTTTGAGGGCAGTGAGTCCGTTGGACTCCCTTGTTCAAAAGTTAATTTCTACCCCTGTACTAGGTAGTAAAAGTATGTACTACTACTACTAGTAGTAGTACTGTACAGCATTGCTGGCCGTGCACGCTGTAAACGTGTTAAGTGTAAACATTCATCTTCGATTCTTGCCATAGTTTGTAGTACTAGTAGTAGTAGTAGTAGTAGTAG